CCCATCTCACTCTTGGAAAAGCACCTACATACTCATAGACCCCATAAAATGCTACAAATACATTATTATGCTTTCAATCCACTGATAGGAAAGCCCCCTTAGCCCTGAAAACAATTAATGTGACAGCCGCTGAACTATGTTGGTCTTTCATGTAATTGTTCAAGAGATCCTAATACTAAATACCTGTTTTGCCCCACATGGTGAATAAATACCACAAATTGGAGAGCCCTGAACACCACCATGAAATGTAACCAAACTCACCAAGTTATGAGTTACCATCACCATGTCTATCTCCCTAAAGGATGGACTTTCTCCTGTGGAAATGTTACGGACCCAGAACAGATCCCTGAAGCTTGAACATTTCCCATTAATGACAACTCATTGTACTCTATCCTTAAGCCAATGTTCTACCCAAGAATACGAATATATTTATCTAGACCAAATTCTTTTAGTTTAAACAGTAACATATTGTGAGGAACCATATCAAATGCCTTGACAAAATCCAAATAGATCACATCCACTGCAACGCCCTGATCTTGCATGGTTAGGGGACTTAGCTCTATGGGATCCCAGGCAGAGATGACACTCAGCACTCAAAGCCCTGGACTTATCCTTACAAGGACTTTTTCCCATTGCATCCCCTGTAAGCTGCAACAGCAGACACAGGGGTTACATCTTCCTTCCCTCCAATAACAGGACAACACACAGTTTTGGAGGTTTAAGCACTGGCCTCTGCCAGACTGACTATACACAGGGGGTCTCCATTCCAAACAATACACTTCCCATAGTCCCAGGCAGGAGGGGGCTGGGTTACAGATAGCCATCTCCCGCCCTGGGAGATACCAAACAGTACACAGGGATACACATTAACAACCAATAAGCTGAAAGGGCGCAAACCAAATCGCTCCAATCAGTATTCAGGGGAGGAAAGAGTTTCGCTGCCCAATTCGAAGAAAGGACGCGAAACCACATTTGAACGAGCACTCCTTCTCTGATTGGTTGCCCACTCTCGGCGGCGACCAATCAGCGCTTACTCGTCCCGACCAACCAGGAGAATGCCGCAAACCCAGTTTGAATGGGTGCTCCTTCTCCCATTCCTCGGAACAGTCTTCCATGCGGTAGTGAGACAGACTCACAGCTCCAGAGATTCCCTGCTGGCGTGCATCCCTCTCTCCGGTGGATATCCCCACGCAGGTATCACCTGGAGAGAGCCTGGTAGCTCCCAGGTAGGGGAAAGGGACTAGTGACTACTGCTCCATTGAGAGCCGGTAGGACGGTCCCCGACATGGAGGCCGATGACAGGGTGCGCAGGTTGGTTCGGGATACGAATGCTGCCCCCTGGTGGTGTTCGGGTATACGAACCGGCGGCCAACCAGGGGAAGCACACACCGCTTGTTCACTTGCGATCTGCGGTTTTCACACCTCGTTAGCGAGGTGTGAAAATTCTAAACACACATTCTAAATGAAGTATCAGCGTGGCTGAAAAGTAAAATACAAGGGGAAACACATATTCAGCAAGGGAAAATGATAACAATACACATTGGGGACACAAAATACAAAACCAAACATCTGAATACTCAGTGGGCATGGCACTTAATGGCGGTGTCCCGCCACACATGTTGATTATTACTAATAACAAAGTTCTTCACAATGAATTCCTGAACATTTCTTCTTAATAGCCCTTCAAATATTTTCTGAGTCACAGAAGTTAAGCTCACAGGTCTATAATTTTCAGGCAAGGATTTTGAACCCTTTTTCAAATTTAGGAATGATCTCTGCCTTTCTCCAATCCTCTGGATTTCTATCCTTTACAGAAAATAGCCATATCCCTTATTGTTTGATGAATACACATTTGTTTAAAGAGACCATAGAAAGGGTCTCAAAGGAGGCTGTCAGATAGTTCCTTATCATTTTAGAAAAGTAAACTATTTTATTGTCTAATATTACAATCTAAAATGGGAGGATTTTTTGGTTTTGATTTAAACTTTTTATTTACACAAAGCTAACATAAACTTTTGGAGACTTTTAGCTTGTTATTGGGAAGTCTGTGCTTCCCACACAGGTGTATACAAACTTATATTAGTCATGAAAGGTTCCCTTTAACCGCAAAATGTTTCTAATTGGGGGGCTGTGGCGTGGTGCTCGAGCTGCACTGTCGCATATCAGAGTAGCACCCGCCATACAAGTGATACAGAGCGATAAATAATCGGACTACTGAGCATAACAGCATCCAGAACACACAGCAATTACTATAAGAATGTCACGGAGGCAGAAAATCAAATCCGCTAAGGCGGAAAAAGTGTCTTTCTTCCTCCCCAAAGAGACGACCCCTAAACCGACCAAGATGGTGGTGCAAAACGCTCACGGGAAGGCTCACTATCGCCCTCGGACTCTCCAGGGTACGTGGCAGAAGAACATTCTTTAACAGTACTAACCATGAGGGCTATGATGGCTGAACTCTCAGACATCATCCAAATGAGCTTCAAATCGCAAATGCAAACCCTGACAGCGGGCTCAGGAAGGACATCCAAGACATCAGGAACCGCACTGCGCACTTAGAAACCAAAAACACACTTCTGTTTTCCCCTCATCCTCCCGTAGTCACCAGCCTGGAGTTGGTTACAATTTTGTGCTGAGACGAGTGCATACCCCAAGCTACCTAGACTCTCCATACCACAGTGTAGTAAGCGTCATGACGTGTCTTAAATATTTTACTGTGGGTGAACAAGGCCAGAGTTCCAAATTGTACCCGTACTGTAATGAGAATTATGTCCTATAACGTCAAGGGGATGATTTTCCCTGGTAAACACAGTCTTCTACTGCAAGACCTTATGAAGCACTTAGTAGCCATTGCATGCATCCAAGAAACGCATTTTAAAAAACCTAGAGTGGCAACCATCTTCACCAAAAGTTCCCTACACAATATCATGCCCTATCAGATTCCAAAACCAAAGGGGTCTCCATCCTCTTACACAAGGATGTTGCCTTCACATTGCAAAGGAGACACATTGACCCTAAAGGGAGATGCCTCATTATTGTAGGTCTTTCTAATAATATACAATATACCCTGGTGGCTGCATAGTTCCCAAACGACAACTAAGCTAGATAAGTACAAACAAGGAGGTCTAATTCTGGGAGGGGACTTCAACTTTATTCAAACCCCCTCTCTTGACACTACTGCCACTTTGATGGGCAGAAGGAAAAAAGGTGTCCATACCCTCTGTAAAACACTAGCTCACACCATTTCCCTGTGCAACCTCCACGATAATTGGAGAATACTACACCCCACAGACCGGGATTACTCATTCTATTCCAGAGTCCACAATACCTACACCCGCATCGACACGTTCTATATAGACAAAACAACATTAGCACAACTGTCAGACTGTAAAATTGGGGATATAACGTGGTCTGTGTAGCGGTTACCCCATATAGCAGAGGGGTTTCAACCGCTGGAGGGTGTCCTTTTCCCGATCAGTGAAGAGGATTCTCAGCATCCAGTCATGTTCCAAGAGAAGAAGCTCTTACAAGAGCTAGTGTGAATAGCTGTATAGCGGTTACCCCCAATAAGAGACAGGACTCTAGATTGAGGGTGAAGTAGAACTGAAGTTTAATGACAGGTACTCTGCTTTTATGCAGTGCTCCCCTGCAAGGGAGACGCCCTCAGGCAATTAGACATTAACCAATCAGACAACAGTTACATCCCACAGATTCCCTCCCCTCTGCTTGGGAGATAATTGAGTTTCCTACTGTATCTACTCAATTATCTCCAAGCTAAAACTTATACTTTTTTATGCATTTTTATAACTTTATGATTTTTCATCACACAGGAATAAAACTTATATTTTTATAAACAACACAACTTGGGGACAAACATATTCAAAATTCGTACAAATCCATTCAGTGGTTCCAGAGATATGGAAAAGTCTCTTTGGACCGTCCGCACGCCTGTTTGCATGCCCAAAACAGTTCCATAGATTCAGGCTGTGCTGTCGGTCTATTTCTGCCTTGAAAAATAACAAAGTCCCATCCGAAGGCGGTGTTCGAATAGTCGAACACACTTCGACTTCTGTCGAAGTGTCAAAGTAAAACGGGATTAAACTTCCTCGGTGGTCGTTAGGTGAGTGGCAGTCCATTTCACATGAAAAAGATAACAAAGTCCCATCCGTAGGCGGTGTTGGAATCTTCGAACGCACTTCGACTTCTGTCGAAGTGTTGAAGTAAAATGGGATTAAACTTCCTTGGTGGTCATAAAGTGAGTGGTAGTCTGTTTCACATGAAAAAGATGGCAAAGTCCCATTCGAATGTGTGTTCGAATCTTCGAATGGGACTTAGTCTCCAGCCGCAGTGTCGAAGGGAAGGTACAAGTCAGTGGTGTTCGTGCAAATGTGTGACCGATTTCCGTTCCAGAGATTTGACGGCACACACCGCTGACCGCGTTCGGCTGTATTAAAATGGCCGCCGCCACGTGTTCGACTTTCTAATCGCGGCCACTTTGACTACTTCGGCACTTCGGCTGTATCTGAAGTGCCATATAAAATGTACCCATTCTTTGCACAACACAGTTAAAGGGCCAGAAACAGTTTTTGTCTTTAGGTGCAGGGCAATGTGGATGATGGCAGGAAGGTAAAAGTTCCCAGGCAACAGGGTAGAATGCTGGTACAATATATATAATAGCTCCAACGCAAAACAGGGGGATCTGTTACAGTCTGATCATGGCCTAGTGTATATAGCACGTTCAAATTTCAGGGAAGAGGCTGAATGAATCCCTCCTCTGGGAAAAATCATTTGTGGAGCAAATGAGGACAGATCTCCAAGAGTATTCTCTCACTAATACCCCTGGGGACTTATCGGATTTCACGGTGTGGTCTGCCCACAAAGCAGTGATGAGGGGATGATTCGTTATACAATCAGCATTCATAAAAGGACAACACCAATCCAGTTTACTTGAATGCCACAAAGAGATAGCGTTGGTCACAGCCAAAAATAAACAAATGCCCATGTCAGACCTAGCCTCCAAACTTGACACACTGTACCAGGACCTCACCACACTTAATGCACATATTTCCTACACAGATTGCATGCAACAACATATCACAACAGTGGGATGGCATCCAAGTACCTCACCACCAGACTTTAGGGCACAACAAGCAGCCACCAGAATCCCCTACCTGGTGGGAAAGGATGGCGGCAAGATCATGAATTCCATCGATATAGTCCAAGAATTTGCTAATTTTTATTAAAAAACTCTACAATCTTAGCATTGGTGAGGGGGTCACAGTCCCTGAAGTAAACTCCATTCAAAGTTATTTAAACCAGATTATCCTCCCAAAATAGGCCAGGTCCATGCAGACGCCTTGCTTCAACCAATCACACTACAAGAAGTTCTTCCAGGGGCCGACGGTTTACCTAACGTATACTATAAGAAATTTAAGGACATCCCAGCCCCCCATCTGCTAAAGGTGTACCAGCGGGCATCAGAGGAAGGCTCCCTCCCCACGGAAATGCTATTGGCTACAATTGTAACGTTACCCAAAACAGATAAACCCACTGACAGTTGTAAAAACTTTCGCCCCATCTACCGATTGAACACTGTTGCAAAATTCCTGGCCATGTACTCAAGTCCCACAGCACAGGTAATGCAAGCTGGTTTCCTTTCCGAACCGTTCTACCTAACAGGGATGCCCCCTTTCGCCGCTCTTATACGTCCTAGCCTTGGAGCCACTTTAGTGTAAGATCTGGAACCACCCTGATAACTAGGGGATAGAGCTTAACGTCCGCAAAATAAAAATCAGTGCATTCGCGGACGATATCCTCTTATTTATCTCTCAACCAGAGACATCACTGCCACACTCAACCAAATTAGGACATATGGGGAGATATCCTATTACTCACTCAGTAGGAGCAAAACAAAACTTTGGGAGTGCGGCTCACCCCCCAGGTATTTTCCACTCTCAAGAGAGATTAATCCTTTGAGTGGCGAACAGATTACATTAAGTACCTAGGCCTGACGTTTACTAAACGACCAACAGACAGCTTCCCCACTAAATATGCAAGAGTTTGGAATGATTGCAAAAACCTTATGAAAAAGGGGAGTTCACTGGGATGGAGCGTGTCGTGACGATCAAAATGTCCACTCTAACAAGGCTTCAATATCTGTTCCGCACACTACCGATCAAGGTACCCCTGTCCTATCTCCAAGCAATCCAAATAGGCAAATACAGGTTTGTGTGAGGGGCTAGGATGTCGGGGAATTTGCTGAAAACGAGACCATTAGGAAACAGTGTTAGCATTGTCTCTGCCCCACTTTCTTAGCAGTGACCCACCACAATGAGTGCTGCTGGAAAAGCAGGCCATGAAGCCGTTTAACCTACCCACCATTCTGTAGCTACCCAAAGGATTTTGACCACATATTCCGTTGCTACCAGAGCAACTCAAACTGGCGGTGAGAGTTTGGGACATGAACAGGAAGAAATTAGAAAGCCCTGGCAACTCCATTTAAAACTATCACATACTGCATACCAACTTTCAATGCTAAACCATGAGTTAATAAGGGAGTTACACACCTATCTCAAATGTTTAAACACAACAACAAGTTGCTATATTTTGAAATCCTACAAGTGGACTTTCACATACCGCAGGCCTCACGGTTCTCCCACACTCAATTAAGATGGTTCATGCACAAGTATACTACTCAAACCTCCTCCTATGATGGGAACCTATAGCTATGACAAGTTGGGAACAGATGGCTATTAAAGGTTCACTCTTACCAAAATGTAAACCTCTCTCCTGTTCCTACCAGCTCCTCCAGTCCTCTATACACTTTGTGGACTCTAAACCCGCTGAACAATGGGCACACGATTTACAGTGCTTAATAACCCGGGAACAATGGGAAACCATCACAATGACACCCAAAAGACTGATTAAATCAGCATAGTTACTGAAACAACACAGAAAGACGCTATATAGATGGTACATGGTTCCCACGCGCATCCATAAACTATACCAGACTCGTCTCCTGTATGTTGGAGATGTGGCTCAAAGGTGGGCACGGTGCTTCATATATGGTGACACTGCAACCTCATCACCAAATTTTGGAAATCAGTTCACAACCTGATACAAGAAACCACACTCACACCTTTCACACCGATAACATACCTCCTGTTACACACAAATAATGATACACCCAAGGGAATACAGAAATTGATCTTCCACGTTCTCTTAACAGCCCAATGGGCAATAGCAAGATTGTGGAAATCCCCAAGGTCCCCACAAGTGACAGAACTATGTAACAAAATTGACATCCAACATATACGAGAACTGCTACTGCATTGTCTTCCCTATGACGACTCCACCCGTAGAGGCTTGGGAGCTCTGGAGCACCTGGAGATCGGGTTGACCCCCGACAAATGGGTAACACTTATGTATCCATATATCTATAAACTGTATGATAGATCACACTACCGATGGCTCTAATGGATGTGGAGATCCTGGGACATGACACTAGTAATGATATGCCTCATTGCCATGTTGTATGTACTCACAAATGAAAAGTATAACAATGTCTATTCTAGTTGTGATATTGCTGGAAATTGTGAATCCCCCACCCCACCTCGCCTCTTTATTTTCTGTACCCTACCCCCACCCTTTGTTACTTTGTTAAAAATGACAATAAAAAATGTCAAATTGAAAAATAAATTCTAATTATGCATGAACCCTGCCATTAATTGTATATTTTGTAATCAACTGTTTACAAGATTTCATGTCATGAAAAAAGAAAGCAATTCAAAAGATGCATAAACTTAAACATTGCAATGTTGATGCAAAGTTATACATTTTACACCCATAAAGCATAGACAACTGTCAATGACTGATAGAGGAGTAAATTGATTGGCTATACTTAGAGAGCCCTGGTTCAAGAGAGACAGAATGAGACAAAAGAGAGAAACAAATAATGTCAAAGCTTGAGTCATTTCATAAATATAGCCAAACCACATGTTGTTATAGCATGACTCTAGAAACTGAATACACCTATTATATTTTAAGCAGGTAAAATGGGGTCACAAAATACCATATTAATAGAAATTACTCCAATTACTCTAGGCAATCCACCAACTTGGTTTCTTTTAATGAAATTTGTCATTTGTGTTTGATTTTTAAGGGGTGTGCTAAAAATCTTTTTGGATAAGTTTGACACTGCATCTTTATCCAGTTATATTCAGAGAATCAAGAAGAGTCATTGTGGGTTTCCCTCTTCTTTCACAGTAGGTCAAGTGGGGTTGTGTCATCATAATAACTTTACATAGATGAATAACTGATTCATGGAATACTACTTTCACATTTGTCTACTCTTTGACATATTATGTACTTACAACTGTTGTACAAATCAGACTTCACAAAGCATTTGGAGTTCTCACTGCAGGTCACAGACTCTTCCTGACACCTGTCACCATTTTTATTAATGCATTGGATACATGTAATACCAAGAACTGAAAGATAAGAATGATTTAATTAGACAAGTTAAGAGCTTTCTTAAAGGATGGAATGCAGAAATCAGTGGCACGCTGGAAGGCCGGGAAGCCAAATGACCAATCATCTTGTTTTATGTTAAATAACCTGTCTCGAAAAAAAATAATATTATATTCAGTAATCAACTTAAAAATCAACTAAAAAATTCCAGACATTTTTTGCTATTTGTGTGCCCTTAGCTTCAAGATGGAAAACCCATCAAGCATGTCCCAAAGTACAGAAATTATAGAGGATTTAAAATCTAAGGATCATCATAAATATAGAACTTTAGAAATTAAAAGAATCATTGTGATAATGTGTATCTCTCCCTTAAGAAAGTAAGTTAATTTATAATCAAAATAATCAAATGAGAGTAAGTGAAGAGGAATTAACCCCTTAAGGACGGAGCCAAATATACACATTGAAACAAAATGTAAACAAAACCTGGCATTTGCGCTACATTTCTGTCCAACCGTAATACACCTCTTTCATATTAAATACACCCACCCTTATTATATATCATTTTATTCAGGGGAAACAGGGCTTACATTTAATATCAAATATTTAGCTATGAAACATAATTTAATATGAAAAAAATGGGAGAAAATAAGATTTTTTTTTATTTTTTTAGTCCAGTCTTTTATGTCCAGTCTTTTTTAGTAGCCATTTGGTCACAAACACTGGCCAAAGTTAGCGTTAGTATTTGTTTGTGTGTGAAAAATGCAAAAAAAGACTGGACATACCCCGTTTGCAATACCTTGAGTTGTCTACTATTGCAAATGGTATGCCATCATAGGGGTAATTTTCATTCTTGGGCTACCATAGTGTCTCAAAGGCACCGTAACCAATCTGGCGAATTTTAATGTGAAAAAAATGAAACGCAAGCCTTATATTTGACGCTGTAACTTTTGAAAACACCATAAAACCTGTACATGAGGGGTACTGTTGTACTCGGGAGACTTCGCTGAACACCAATATTTGTGTTTCAAAACAGTAAAAAGTATCACAGCAATAATATCGTCCGTGTAAGTGCTGATTGTGCATGAAAAATGCAAAAAACATCACTTTTACTGGCGATATCATCGTTGTAATACATTTTACTGATTTGAAACACTAATATTTGTGTTCAGCGGAGTCTCCCGAGTAGAACAGTACCCTCCATGTACAGGTTTTATGGTGTCTTGGAAAGTTATAGGGTTAAATATAGTGCTAGCAAATTAAATTCCCTTTACTCTCGGCATGGGTTGTCAGGCAGGTCCCGCTAATTGTATTTAATTAAGATACCCAATTATGTAAAAATATTACATAAATATATATGTAGAATTAATATATGTATATATATATACGTATGTGAATATATATGTATATATATATATAATTTTTTTTACTATTTTTATTTATATAAAGGTATATATATAGTGATATATACATATATATTTATGTATATAGATATATATATTATTTCGTTCTACGTGTATTTTGATATAAATATATATATATATTAATATCACAATACAGTTAGAACGAAATAACACACATCTATATATTTTTTAATTTTTTTTTAATAATTTTTTTATTATAATTTTTTTAACGTATTTACATTTTTTTATATTATATATAAATATATATATAACAATAATTATATATATATTTAATCAGTATCAGTCTACGTGTAATTTGATATTAATATATATATATATATATATATATATATATATAATTATATATATATTAATAGTAAAATACACCTATACAGTGTATGTGTGTGTATGTATATGTGTATATATATACTTAGATCATATATATATAATATATATAATGCTCTAAGAATATATATTTTTTTTTACACTTATTTAACTTTTTTTATTTTTATTTCCAGCCAGCAGGGGGACCACCTGTCATTACAGGCAGCCCCCCTGCTGGGATTGCAGGAGGCAGCTATCCCAGCCATGTGATTGTGAGGTCCTCACTCTCACATGGCCGGGGGGGCTGCCAGGGGGTCGGATGTGCCACGGGGGGCTCCCTGGGAGTCCCCCCAACCACGATCCGGGTAAGTACAGAAAGACTTAAGGGGTTAAAGAGAGTGTGTCAATGAAAATTTGTCTCTGAAGTTTACAAATATTGTAAT